TAATCCTATGTTCCCTGCTCCTATATACAGAAGTAAGGCATAATCCTATGTTCCCTACACCTATATACAGAATTAAGGTGCATGCCTATGTTCCCTGCTCCTATATACAGAAGTAAGGTGTAATCCTATGTTCCCTGCTTCTATATACGGAATTAAAGCCTTAATCCTATGTTCCCTGCTCCTATATATACAGAATTAAGGTGCAATCCTATGTTCCCTGCTCCTATATACATAAGTAAGGTGAAATCATATGTTCCCTGCTCCTATATACAGAAGTAAGGCATAATCCTATGTTCCCTGCTCCTATATACAGAAGTAAGGTGTAATCCTATGTTCCCTGCTCCTATATACAGAAGAAAGGCATAATCCTATGTTCCCTGCTCCTATATACAGAGGTAAGGTGTAATCCTATGTTCCCTGCTCCTATATAAAGAAGTAAGGTGTACTCCTATGTTCCCTGCTCCTATATACAGAAGTAAGACGTAATCCTATGTTCCCTGCTCCTATATACAGAAGAAAGGCATAATCCTATGTTCCTTGCTCCTATATACAGACGTAAGGTGTAATCCTATGTTCCCTACTCCTATATACAGAAGTAAGGAGTAATCCTATGTTCCCTGCTCCTATATACGGAATTAAAGCCTTAATCCTATGTTCCCTGCTCCTATATACAGAGGTAAGGTGTAATCCTATGTTCCCTGCTCCTATATACAGAAGTAAGACGTAATCCTATGTTCCCTGCTCCTATATACAGAATTAAGGTGCAATCCTATGTTCCCTGCTCCTATATGCATAAGTAAGGTGAAATCCTATGTTCCCTGCTCCTATATACAGAAGTAAGGCGGAATCATATGTTCCCTGCTCCTATTTACAGAAGTAAGGTGTAATCCTATGTTCCCTGGTCCTATATACAGAAGTAAGGTGTAATCCTATGTTCCCTGCTCCTATATACGGAATTAAAGCCTTAATCCTATGTTCCCTGCTCCTATATACAGAATTAAGGTGCAATCCTATGTTCCCTGCTCCTATATACAGAAGTAAGACGTAATCCTATGTTCCCTGCTCCTATATACAGAAGTAAGGGGGAATCCTATGTTCCCTGCTCCTATATACAGAAGAAAGGCATAATCCTATGTTCCCTGCTCCTATATACAGAGGTAAGGTGTAATCCTATGTTCCCTGCTCCTATATAAAGAAGTAAGGTGTAATCCTATGTTCCCTGCTCCTATATAAAGAAGTAAGGTGTAATCCTATGTTCCCTGCTCCTATATAAAGAAGTAAGGTGTAATCCTATGTTCCCTGCTCCTTTATACAGAAGTAAGGTGTAATCCTATGTTCCTTGCTCCTATATACAGACGTAAGGTGTAATCCTATGTTCCCTGCTCCTATATACGGAATTAAAGCCTTAATCCTATGTTCCCTGCTCCTATATACAGAAGGAAGGTGTAATCCTATGTTCCCTGCTCCTATATAAAGAAGTAAGGTGTACTCCTATGTTCCCTGCTCCTATATACAGAAGTAAGACGTAATCCTATGTTCCCTGCTCCTATATACAGAGGTAAGGTGTAATCCTATGTTCCCTGCTCCTATATACGGAATTAAAGCCTTAATCCTATGTTCCCTGCTCCTATATACAGAAGTAAGACGTAATCCTATGTTCCCTGCTCCTATATACAGAGGTAAGGTGTAATCCTATGTTCCTTGCTCCTATATACAGACGTAAGGTGTAATCCTATGTTCCCTCCTCCTATATACAGAAGTAAGGAGTAATCCTATGTTCCCTGCTCCTATATACGGAATTAAAGCCTTAATCCTATGTTCCCTGCTCCTATATACAGAAGGAAGGTGTAATCCTATGTTCCCTGCTCCTATATACAGAAGTAAGGAGTAATCCTATGTTCCCTGCTCCTATATTTGTAGAGGCGTACACATATTTGTATATGGACACAAACAATTGTCCCAGTAAACAAGATGAGGTATAGCTGTAAGCTATGCACTTTGTCTATGAAAATTATATCAAAAATAGAAAACAAGAAAATTGTTATAAAGTTACACAGTAAAGTATGGCGGTGTATTTGGTTTACATTGGAAACAAATCATACAATAAAATAATACAATAAAGATATGTAGTGGCATACACTGTTACACAAATATACGCTGATTATCGTGAGAAGTGTAAAATAGTTATCTGATTAATAACAAGGATAGAAGTCGTAATGATTGCAGTAATAACTTATACATATATAACTGAAAACATATCAGTCAAGAGGAATACAACGTTAATCTGATATATGAAGTAGGATTATGAAGAATTACTCATACTTGAGGTTAGCACTATTTGTGACATAACAATGTTGGAAAGTTACCATGTGCATTACAATTTACTTATGTACATTATCGAAGACAAACAACTTGTGAAATTGATGATTACGAAAAAAAAGTGGAAAAAAATTGTGATGCAAAAAATATATATTTGGTTGAAAACAAATTTGGTATATAGATAATGATTTTCAGTAATAGTGATATCAATTTTAACAAGGAATTAAAACAAACCCTGAAGTGAATTGTTTCAATGTTTAAGTACTATTTGGACAGACAGGCAGCATCATTGTGTACAATTCATGAAAGTTGATTATCAAAAAACATTTTTTTATAAGGAAGCAATCATGTAAAACAATAATATGGTCACTTCCTAATAGTCAGCTATCCATGTCATATAATGGGCTGGTGTAAGCCTAACACAGGCCACACCTCGCAGGTATCCTTGCCATCCGATTGGCTGTTGGCAACCAGGTCTTGACAACAAGTCACACCTATTGTCATCTCATTGGCTGTTGTTTACCTGGACACAAGTGTCAATTTGTAACCATGGATACCAGTGTCAAAGATACCAATATCAGCATGAATTTTGTAACTAGACACCGATTTCAAAACCTGTAGCTTGCGTTACCAGTGTCAATATGTACCAAGTCTTCAATGTTTACACATGTATCTATGGATACCAGTGCTCACATGTGTAACGTAGGATACAAGATTCAAAATGTGTATTCAACGATATCAATACCGACATAAATGTGTCACCATGCAAGGATAACGCGATAACATGTACAACAAAGATTACCAAAACAAAAATGACCCGTTTTAAAAAATGAATTTGTAGGTAAGGCGTACAGCACTAAGGCATGTGTTCAGTCATCGAGACTGGGAAGAATTTTTACATTACTCAACGGCGTTGGAGGAACTTCCCAGGAGACACTACTATGAAGCTTTGAAGTCTTGCGCGGTCGCCACGATGTGTGAAAGTTCCTTGCCTTGATAGCATCCTCGCCTGTAACATTATTGGTCTTGCCGACGAGCATGGACATCGGGTGCTGTGCCATGGAGGTAGTGCTTGTTTGGGAAGCTGAGTTTGTGAAGGTTGATAGAGGAAGATCAAACACAGGGTTAGGGATATTCTCCCTGTTTCTAATTGTGTCTAGTGTATGTGGCTTAGACCGTAACATTTTATCCACAAGGAAATCAGACACAGAATTTGCTGGATGATCTGGCGGCAGTAATGGCGAATCCTGTGATAATGAGTTTGGGTAAACAGTCGCCAAGGCAACACGCTTTGGGGAAGAAAATTGTGTTGACTTTGTCAAATTAAGTTTGTAGTTGGGTAAAGGGGCTCGACTCTTGCCTGTAAATGCCCAAATAACTGGATCTGAGTGATTGTGACGTTTGCTCACTTTCTTTAATGCGTTTAAAGTTGAATCCCTATTAGAATGCTCTTTCTTAGGTTTTTTGGCCTTTTTCTTGACCTTAAGTCTGAGGTCCCTGAGGGGCTCCAGGTCCTGGTGGTGTGTGAGAGGTTCACGATGGGAGACAGGGAGATGACGATACTGGCGGTGCTCCACACCCTCCTTAGACAACGGCTCGCGGTGAGATAGAGGTTCACGGACCTCCCAGTGAGGAAGATGCTGTAGCTGAACGGCTGCATGGTCTACTTTCGGAATGTGCTGAAAGTAAGATGAGTTTTTGTCAAGTGTTCTCTCTGGCATACTCGCTGATCGTATATCATTAGGTTTGGGTGTTGCGACAGTTTTTGGGTGGTCCACTATAAACACTGGATCTTTACGGAGGATATGGTCTTTAGGTAGTGGGAAATGATTGTTGATGGAGTCTGTCGTTTCATTGAGAACCTTTTGTATACTAAACTCATCATGGTCCAGTGGGTCGGTAGAATGGTCATTACCATGTTGTGACGAGTCAATGCCATCGGTATTTCCATTTGAAGTCCCACCTGACATGTCATTATGGTTAGTATTGTTTTTATTTTGATCTTGGGAGTTACCTCCCTTCGTACTATCTTCCTGTACAAAATCATCATTTCCCTGAGATTCTGATTGGCCGAATTTGAACATTTGTGTCACGTGTGGTTCTGCAATGTCATCCCTGAGAAAAACAACAATAACGGTTATGTTATCTGTAGATCCGTTTTCTTTAGCCCAATTCACCAGTTTCTGGGCCACACAAGATTTATCTCCCTTGGAATCCTGGAGAAAATCATACACTAGTTTAGGAACTCCATTTGGTGTCAATACGTCCCAGAGTCCATCACAAGCTAACACTATGTAATCCTCAGTGCCGTCTAGGGAAACACTGGTCGTGTCCGCATCACTGATAATGAATTTCTTATGGGCTGCATCACCTGTCAAAGAAAATTAACTTTGTTAATTTATCTTTTTACATCTTTTTTTTATGTATGGATTTGTGGTTTGTTTTCAGATATATCAAAAATGTTTTTTGAATCTTTTCTCACCATGTAAAACCTGGTTAAAATTAACTTTTGATGACAAAAATACCTCTCATGGCTATAACAGTTGATTTGGATAACAAGATAACTAGAACATTCTTCAAAGATCTAATAAAGTTAACCTTAACACATTATATTATACTCAAGTTATAGCTTTCTCCCTTCAAAAGATATCTACTAATTCAGATGAGCAATATCCCATCGTGTGTCCTAGGATACATTAGAACCTGGTCATTATTGAATTAACATGAACTAAAGAGTTCTAAAAAAGATTCCATGAAAATAACAAAGGAAGTCAGGTTTTCCAAAACGCTTTTATAGTCTATACTAGCTAACTACAATTTAATTAATGTAAAAAATATTAACTATTATAAAGAAACATCACAACGCATAAGAAGAGATTTCAGTAACTCAGCATAAGAAATTACTGTTAAACTTTTCACATCAAATGTTGATTTATTCACACCACAGACACTACACAATTATCTCCCCTTGTCAGTCTTAATACTAAGTGGTGAACAACCATAATTTTCGTGATGCATGCAATCGTTCTACTCATAAAAACGCTGTGATGTGTTCAATTTTCATTGAAAGAGCTATATGGCATTTCAAACGTGTACAAAACAAAAGCAATCTCTGAAATCAAAGCGTATATGTATTAATATAGCCAACAGACGCATTAAAAGTGTATTTTTGGGGCTGCTTCCTCTTTTGAAAAGTTTATATATATCCTCAAATGAAAATATAGCTTGGATATTAACAAAATTAACATCCTTGAAATTTAGTTTGCATCATTTTTTTATAACAAGAGAGATTTTTCCCTTTTGCTTAAATCATTTTTATAACAAGAGAGATTTTTCCCTATTGCTTAAATCATTATTTTATAACAAGAGAGATTTTTCCCTATTGCTTAAATCATTTTTTCTTAACAAGAGAGATTTTTCCCTATTGCTTAAATAATTGTAACATATAAGAAATTGGGAAATTTGAAAAAATACACTCAAAATTTTGTCACAAATCAAAAGCAAATACAAAGGTTCTAGTTGGTCTGTTAAGCATTATATTCAACATTTCTGCAGCCAAGTTTACCGATCGCCCTGGAAACAGAAAGGACGAGATTAACTCTCCATATCCCTCGCACGTTGTGTACATATCCACCTGCTTCCTCAATCCTCCGACTCTCATCCTGGAATTACAAGGCGCACACAAGATACATTGATAATTCATGATACACACAATCCACATTGATTTCTGGCTTCTGTATTCTCCGATACACCGTGGGGAGATTACTGAGTACATATTCAACGCATCTTTATAATACCGTTTGCAGCCTTTTTGTCTTTTTTTCATTTAATATTCATAAAATGTTTTAATAATATCTTTCATCTCAATTCTAGGACTGGAAATTGATGTCAATAATTTTGTTTTTCTCAAAATTCTGGCAAAGCAAACCCCACGATGTCTTGGTGAATACATGCTAGGACAAGACATTTGTGGAAAGTGTTGACTCCTGTGAGTGTCTCACAGAAGGAGTATTACCTATGGCTCGTGATACAGCCAGATTCCCATTGACTCGCCACGTCCCCATAAACAACACACAGCCACCTGCGGCCTCTATCCGCCTGCGCTCATCCTGCAATATGTAATTTGGTTAGAATCCACGATACAACTAGAGGATACCCCTGCTCTTATGTATTTGAAGTTAATTTGGGGGTGAGGGGGTGGGTGGGATAGGTGGTGGGTGGTAGGGGTAATGCATTAAAGTTTGCATGGTATTTATAATATGTTACTTATACAGCTTTTCTGTCTAAACTTTCAGAGGTGAAATAATTCATATAAATATTGATTCTTTTCAGCTATAATTATGTTATATTGAACAAGTTTGAATTATGTCTGAATTATTGAAAACCCCTGAAAACCCTTCTTATAAGACTACTGTACACTCCAGAAATACGTATCTAGGTGGAGCATGGTCACATTTTTGTGACCCTAATTATCATCCCATGTTCACTACATAAATGATCTCTTGGTTTTTAAAAATATTATCACTTATAAGGGTCATTAAGGTCCTAATCCTACTTATTATCAACTACACATTCCTCCCTGTCCCCACCCCAGGGTACTTTTTCGTTAATTTGGGATTAGGCCTTTTTGTCTCATTTGGGAAGAAAATTTATCAACCGTGAAGGAAATTTTATAGGAGTCAAATGCAAATTTTGGGAATTAGGCATGAATATGAAAGATTCCTGCAACCCATTGTTATAACTGTATCTAGACAAGGCTTTACAGGGTTCATACAAGTACTTTTCTATGACATTTAAGATTTTTTGGGCCTTGTAAGAAGGCCTAAAATATGCCACTATTTGCAAATTCTCAACATACAGAGATCTGGATGTATAACCTTGGTGTCTCTAAGCTCATCAAACACCAAACAACCCTAACATCTAACACTGCTTGGTTAGGCGGAAAATCTAAAAATTAACTCATAACAAATATTTCATTTCCTTGTATTTTCTGAATTATTTTTATGTTAACAACACCACAAACCACCAAAATTGATGAACAATCATGATCTAATGATCATTTGGCCTAATTCAAGGCTCACTTTCATCCTTTCAAGCAATTTTTGTTGAATGGCATTTAGGGCCTTTTCATCAATTTTAGGGCTTTTCAAGGCCAATCCTTTGTTTTGTCTATGTACTCAAGTTTCCTCCCCTGCACGCTTACATCTGCGCCAACAAGAGTGATTAATAAAATTTGCAATAAAGCGTTTCATAATTATTTTAAAATAAATAAAAGATTTCTATTTTTTTCATTTTTTGTTTTTATATTATTAACAAAAGATTTTAATTTCCAAACAAGTCTCTTCACCAATTAACATAAAAATTTAAAATCTCACAAAAATTTAAGTAATGAACAGTATTAATTATTAACCAAAGAATATTATTAAGTAATATGAGTACTAGATGCTGAAACATATCACTTATCAGTCCGTAGTCTCAATCTGTGGGAATATCACTCTGTTAGTCCCCACTCACCACCCGACACGATCATTGGCACCCTAACAAACCTAGCCAGTGTCCCTTACCTCTCTCTCTGGTTTGTGTGGGTCCATCAACACCACAGCCTCCCCGTTCTTTACAAGCATGGCCTGCGAGTCCCCTAGCCAGGCCAGATGTAATTTGTTTTCCCTGATCAAAATAGACACACCCGTAGATCCACTCTTCAGCTTCTGTAATTCAGAAAATAGAATCCCTAACAACTTTGTATCAACAACTGTTACCACTTTAAGACGACCTACATTGTAATAAAGCAGTATATGAGAACCCCAAATTGGTATTCATTATAATGTAACAGGCACAAGCCAATAGCAAAATAGTACAATTTTGTCCTAATATCACAATACATAAATATATTGTTTTTAAAATCTACCAAGCTCAATATCGAAGTATATTTTTGCTTCTTAAAATTATCTCTTCGTGAATTTATTAGACCCTTTTAGCTATAGGTTATTACTTCAGAAAATATAATATTAGACATATTCAAAGACATTTCCTAAAAACACCACCTGCTCTGAACCCACCACTGAAATAATCTCTTATGTAATTAATTGATCAGTTTGCCTACCATACCTACACCTTAGCTCATTCACCCCTGAAATTTCATAATGAACTATTCCAACCTTTGAACTGGAACTGTTCAAATGTGCCTCCATGGGTGAATGGGTTAACCAAATGGATCTTACCTCCCTCTCAGCCTTTAGTAGATACTTTTCATCTGTACCCTTGTAAGCACATTTGAGGGCGCCCGCAGGATTTTTCTGGAACTCTTCACAGCGGACAAGGTGGCAATGTAAGTGTGTGGCTGCGTAGGTGGCCGCCTCCACTCCCGCGTGGCCGTCAAAAACTGCATAATATGACTGTGGAGGCTGGTCCTGTGACAATAAAGTTTAATCATTAGTTTTGAGTACTGTATTGCATTAAATACATCATGAGGCAATTTTTTCAAGGAAATGTTCAATAATTAGTTTGAAGTTTTTTGGGGTTGATTTTCAAATAAATTTCCAAGGGATGGGACCCATTACAGCAAAAGGATTCTTTCAGGCTTACTACTCATTTACCAGATCAGAGTGGAGATATTTTTGTGTAAACACATCAAAACAACTTGTCACAATACATTGTAGAAGCACTGCTAAAATGAATGTTTCCACACTAGTAACTTAGTGTAATTCCTTAACTGCATTTTTGTCTATTGGAAAAAATGAAAATTAAGGAAAATCTAGAGTGAAGAAAAACTTCAGTAATGCTTTCCTGTGGAAAAGTTAGGGACATTCATGAAAATGGAGTCTGGAAAATAATTATCTTATAGAATACCACAGTCACAAATGGCTTCACTATATTATTGTGTCAGCAGTATTCACATAGAAAAATATATTTTATACACATGTCGAAAACAATTTTCATTATTTCACATCTACGACCTGTTTAGCTAGAATACTGTGTTAAAATGTGTTTGATATATGAAGGATGCTCAGTTTAATCCGTCTTCTACCTTCAAATTGAACAATGAATTGAGGTCAGGCAATATCACATGACGATCTTCCATTTTTCGTCGAGTATTCTTGATTTCGTGGAGGTAGGATTTGGACACTTTGGGAGGGGGAGACAAATGAGGCAGATTTTCGCGCCATTTTTTACAGATGTCGTGTAGTACTTCAATTGTGTGCGTACACAAGATCTGGGCTTCAAGTACTGTAATAAACAAAACAGCAAATTGCAATATCTAGACTTGGAAATATAGTAAAATTGTCTTTTTAGGAACAAATTAAATCAAATTTGATCTAACTGTACTCCATTCATCATAAAAATTGACTTTGCAAAAAAATTGTCTTTACAAGCAAGATTCCACTAATTAACAGATTATAACTAAAAACAGCATCAGGAAACTTTTGCCCAATAAAATATTCATCTTTCACCAATTATATCCGAATGAGCCTAGTGTTAATTTCACTGTTCACTGAATATCTTGTGTGAAGTACATGTAAACTGATCTATATTTGTCATCATTAATTTGCCCTCGTTACTGAGGGTGAAAAGCGATAGCTCTAAAATTAAACTTCCTGTATACCAACAACTTCCTTGTTTAATATTGGTATTTTCACCTTAACCTGTATACATACCTGTGGGTGGATCCTTCTTTATAATCTCAGTTGTCTGCCCATTATTTTCTTCACCCTGCCCAGAACTCGGCACATCCTCCTCGTAGTCTGTAAGGTCTGACTTGAGAATCTCTTCGACGACAGCTCGGCCTAGTGCAGCCGCAAGAGTTGGCGGACATTTTCTGTAAAACAAACAACCGGGTACAACTTATAAATATTCTTCTATAACAAACAAATATTTACCACAAGATATATATAGTCAACAATACAAATACAAAACTATACTGTTCACATTTTTTGTTCAATGGCATGAGACACAAAATTAGATCATTCCTGCTTGGTTGTGCCATTTAGTAATTCTTAGCGTAAGACAGTGTTCCCCGTGATGAATAAATTCTGACCAAGTTTAGGTCAGAGCTACTGTATCCCTAGATACTTTGGTCCAGTCAAATGTTCTGTCCTTCACTGGTCAAATCCATATTTATCCAGTGGTAATTTTCCCCTTCATATGTAATTAACACCCATTTTACCGTCTGAAAGCAATGCATCTATTCAACTTTGAATGTTTCATTAAAGAATGCTACATCATTCATTGTTCATAAGGAATTTTATTTTTAATATAAATGCCATATAGCATTTACATTAGTAGCTAGGAATTAAGAATAATTAATTTTTAATTGGTTTCAAGTGATATAAATATGAAATTTGTTTACTTTTCTATAAAAGAATAAATCTGGATAAGTTCATGTACATATCAGATATATTTCATTCCAGTGCCAATGATATTTACTGTATATACATGTACAATATAGTTTTGAAAATTAACCTTTGACAGTGGTATTTCCCCAAACAATGCGACAACCCTAACTGTCTACAAATATGCATGTACAGGTCTGGAAGTTGTTTAGTTTTAACTGTTCATTTGACACTACGTTGTGAATACATTATATATATTATATAGTCAACACTGGAGTGTGGTACAGACAAACCCCCGTAGATAACAAGGACACCGGATAAGACAGCGGACTCTACTTTATCTCCCTGCCTCATACCTCTATAGTACTTCAAACACAAACCTCACAATCTAGTGGATAAAGCTCTCCCAGCTTAATCACACATAAAAGTAAATTTTCAATCCTTTATATTTTATAAAATATTAAAATTGAGTAAAAAAAATCACACAAGTCTTTGGATTCAAAATGATAATTTCCAGATAATACAGACAAAACCGCACATATTTTTACAATCACACGCTTTCAATTTTTTTTTTTATTTGAAAACTTCACTCCTTGTATCATTACAATAATGACATTAGACACAATTGGCTGTGTGACTTACTGGTATCAAGTGTCAATTAGCTAAAAAGTATATTTATTGTTCCAGTGTAATTAACAACACTTAATCAAGGTAAAAATTTGCAGACTCGTCAAAGTAAAATCATATGCATGAGCATAGCTAATGACACAGAGTAAAATTTCAATTACAAATATTTTCTAAATTATTAAATAGAAAATAGAACAAACACATCCTAGGATTCAAACAAAAACTTTAAATAAAACATGAAAATATTCATAGTTGTAGAATCACTTTCTTAAAATATCTTAAAAGATTTGAAAAGGAACGTCTTGCAGATAGCTACAGAAGTTTCCTACAACCATTCAGCCCGATCATTAAACCATAAAGAAAATAATAAAATTTCATTAATTATCTTTTACCTACTTAAAAAATGTTCTAAAACACAAGTAAACATTTTTTAATGGTTTTTCTATCCTACAAAAAGAATCTGGAAATGTGTATCACTAGTCTCAAGCTTAAAACCCACTTATATTTAGGCTAAAGGGAAATTATCTCTATGAAAAAAGAAACAGCTCTGTGACATCTTGAACTTGACCCTGTTTCTGTGAAATGTAATTGAAGTTAAGTTCTATTTATTGCTTTAGCTGACAGTAAATTGGAAAGGTAAGAGAGCAACCCGATACCCTTTCTTCTAATATTGCTAAACCAATTATGGGTATATAAAGGACGAGCTATTACATTTAGTACACCGTACTGAACGCAGTATTTATTCTCCCAACTAGGAAGTTTACACCTACTACATCTATGCACTTAAGTCACTTATTTTTCTTCCCTACAGCCCAGTGATTTCATTTCCTCTGTATTTCAATAACAACACAATAAAATTGAGTATTTTAAAAGTGTCATCCTTTCTGTCATGTTTACTATAGCTCGATTTCCTGTTAAGTAAATATTGATATCCCATACAAAAATATGGTATCGAGTTGAATCCTACTATGAATTTTAATTAATTTAAATGTGAATATGCTTCCCAACTGATTTTCATTAAAATCATATATATAAACTTTATATATTTTACAACAATTATGAAACAAGTTAGTTAAACCTAGCTGCTATTAAGCTAGTCCTACACCACAATTTTCGAGCTAATTTAAACAATTATTGTTAGAAAGTCAGTAGAATTGTGATTTGATTGATCTGTTAACAAACATTCAACTTCAACAACAGTAGCGGGGTATAATCTCCAAGAATCAATTGTACCACTCAAACTTCATCATATAACATTCATTCTAATATTGCCCCCTAATAACTGCCTGCCCAGAAGGACAAAACAGTCTGAAACATGTTGGCAACCAAGCAAAACAAAAACATATTTTATTGAAATTATCAACAGTTTTCTTTGTACTTTCATTTTTGAATATTTGAATTCGTTACCAGATTTAAGCAGCATGTAGTTCATAAATTCATGATTTATATACATATAATTACAAAATACCGCAGTATACAATGTTATACAGAACCTTGGACTACCACATCTACATGAACAACTTATACAGACTCAGCCCAGAAACGCACAAAGAATTGGGCACGTAATCTAACCAGGTAGTGAATTCACATGTAAATTAATTGTTTACACAAACAGCATCTGTTTTAACACCACAAGGAATGTGTGATGTGTGCACTACTCATTTATACACGATTAGTCAACTTAAGCTTTGAAATACAAACAAATGCATTACTTGTTTTTGAATACAAAGCTTACTCAATTTTTATTCATTCTTAATACAAATTAATAAGCTTTTGACCTTCACCTTAAATACTGCATAAATAAAATGATTGATTTACATGCCAGACTTTGAAATCCTTACCCCATTAATGCTTACACAGTGTATAAACATTTGAATGTATGGGAAGCTTGACGAAGATTTCTTTTATTTTTAAAAATCTGACTTCATTTCTGATAATAAAAAAAAGTTAAAAAAAACCCATTTCTTTCAAATTCTATGGCATGTTGTGAAATCTGTAAATTTTCAATAATCATCTTATTGGGCTTCAAAAGATATAATCCCAAAATACCTACTAGCGTCTTATTCCGATCACTGCCAACAGATTATGCCCATGTCAGATTTGTCTAACACTTTTGAAAGCAGATTTTTGCAATTGTCTGGTTTTGATAAACACAACATTTGCTTGCAATTGGAATCAAAAAGAAAAGGGCAAAGAAAAAATGTATCCTAATTTTTGCAATAGTTTGAGAATGCACTTGGTAACGTTTACCAGCCCGATGTGTACAAGTAATGATTGTGTAAGTAAACGGTAATGAAGTGTGTAATTGAAAGAGTTTCTATGTGTAGGATACCAGACCCAGCCAATTCTCTTTGGCATCCTCAATTGACACGCCTTGTAGAGATGACCTTCACCAGTAGAGATGATAACAACAGGAAACCCTACAAACTTATCGCCAGACTTGTGTTCCTTTTTATAACCACAACATCTCCTTTTACACTCGTCCTTCCTCACCGAATCTCTCTCTCCTAAAACCAGCTCATCTTCACGTGAACCTCCATATTTCTTCACACTATAGCTCTCCTAAAACTTGATTCCTTTTCATCTTCACTGGCGACTCCATTCTTCCAAAAATACACTTTCTCTTAAAACCTAGTTCCTTCATTTTCTCACTATCACAGTGTCACTATGTTTTTCTTATAACATACACTTCCTACTAAAACCCAGTTCTTTCACATCTTCACCTCCATCCATGCATGCATATTTATTTGTTTAACAATACTCATCAATGCTATAATCCCTTGTTCACTTTGGTCCCTCTACATGGAAACCACTGAAGCATCACATATCATATTGCTCATCTTCATTCTTTCATTCCTACATTGATATACCCATTCTTTTCTTGGTCCAACTTTGAAGAAAAATTCATCCAAGCATGAATTCCCCCTTTCTTCACTTTGGACCCTCACTGAGGAAACTGTCGAAATCTATAATTTTTGCCCCTTTTTCTCCTCAATTCCGCATTTTAACTTTTATAAAAACAACATGATAAGAAAGATACTGTGTTTATAACAAAATGTTTTAACAGAAATGTCATAAAGGTAGGTCAGAAAACGTAAAGTGTGAAAACACTACACAGAAATTTTAGGGCAAAAAATTAAACTGTAGTCAACAACATTTCCAGACTGAAAACTCGGTCAACATGCATGTTCACCCAGTGAGTTATCTTGTCACTTCCAACCGATGATGTCAGTCAAATACACCTATCACCTCATCTTAAATCGTGTCAGTTTCATCCCTTCCATTTGATAAATGACGTCCTTGACATATTTTTAAACCAGACAGTTCTAATTCCAAATCACATTAAAGTGACTATTAAAGTGACTGTGTGTTTACGATAACACTAGCACACACATATACTCACCTTAAAACTTTCCTGCTTTGAAAATGCTACTTTTAAATATCTAAGCTTTTTTACCTTGAAAAAACCCCACACTCTTCACTTTTAAAGACATTCTTACTTTGAAAAGCAACTCTAGTTTTAAAAACATTGCTACTTTGAAGAAAAGGCTTTCTCCAGTTTTTAAAAACACTCTAACTTTGAAGAGCCTGCACTTCAATTTAAAAACATTTTTACATTTGAAAATGTATACATGTACGACTGTCACTGACCTCATCCAGGTCAGCTAGAAGATTACGGAGATACAAGATATGCCTGTCAGGCAGGACTAGAAACCGTTTTTTATGTATACATACCAACATGACGTTCTTATATTAAACTAAAATCATACATCAAACACAAATCTGAAGTTATTTTTCCCTGAAGCCATGTACGTGTGAATGGGAGGCAAAGGTTTTATATCATCCAACATGTATATCA